GGTTTATTTCAAAAACATTGTTTAACAAATTAATAAAAGAGGTGTTACATCGCAGGTGGCTTGGAAGACGGTGGGTAATATTATCCATTTTGCAACACGAACTGGGGGTAAGCAACAGTCATTTGTAGCTATTTGAACTACAGAATTTCCTCTTTTAATTTTTAGTTTAATTTTATTTTTGCTGCAGATGAAATGGTTAAACTTCTGTTTTCGCGCAGGTGCATTGAGGGAAAAAACACTGAGTTTAGGGCAATCGGTTCGTAGCTTTGCTTCAACTGTGCCATATAGTCACGAGGAGCGACCAAATATTCTGACATGCCAGAAATTCACTGCGCGATAAACGACGCACGACAAAGCTGAAAATCGGTCCGACACGAAAAAGAGTCGCACGAGTCAGAATTCGGCTCAAAATCGGACGAAAATCGCACAGTGTATGCCCGCCTTAAGTAGACATGCGTTCAAACAAACAGTCTCCTGAAGACAAGAAAGAGGATGACATATTTCACAGATGCCCTTTAATACTCACGGCCACACCTGAAATGACATTATAGGCCGTCGCCGGCCAATGTTAAGTTCATTGTCGTGTTTAGACTCGTGTCGTGTTTAGATATTCCCAAAATGTCCTCTAGCGAATTCCCATTCGAAGGGGAACAGACTGGAAAGTATGTAACTAATAAAACTAATCCACTAATCCAAACTAAAACTGAATGTGACAATGATGTGACAGTGTCATAAAACAACCATATAACAAAATCATAGATTTGTTTTTTTTTTTACTTTTTCAACAAAAAAGTTGGTTTTCGCTCACCAAACAACATATTTACTGGCATTTAGACTTTCTTTTGAAGTTGATTAATGTAATTTGCTTAAAGCAACATACTTATCTGGCTTGATCCCAAGCAGACAATCATCAGCCATAGCAGATTCAGCTTTTCCCCAGACATAATTCCCCAAAACAGCCTGAGAAAGACTCAAGAGTTGAGTTTTCTTTTCTACAGATATTGGTGGTAATTTTTTAATTTGTCGGCATTTTCTTTTTTCATTCTTGAGATGTAAAGTCCACAGTCCAAGAGGAGAGAGATGTTTATCTGTTCACTTATGAAGTCGAATGATGATCCTCAGCTCAGAGCCGCTGGAACAATGACATACGATTCATTTGCAGACATGCAAATCATGTTATTTTGGGCTTTAACTGTAATTTTCACTGTTCCTTTACGTTCAGGTCGAGTTTATCAAGTTACATTTTTTTACAGAGAACTATATAAATATAGCAAATAAATAGTTTAATAAAGATGCCAATGAAAGCATAACCTCGTAACCCTGTTTATTAGACAATAATTCGATTATTTTTTGCGATATATAGATTCATATTCATATTTTTGGAGCCACTGAAAGTCCATCATGATGAAGAAATTGTATTCTCTTCATGCCAATCTTGTGAGAGGCTCTTAGAGATATAACACATTTATTAACAAGTCTGATTAGCTGATTTTGACACAGTGTTTGCGTGTCTTTCATTTTTTAATAACCAAATATTTTCCACATTAGTGTGTGAGAATTTTTTAAAGCTGTAATATCAAATGATGATGCAAATATCTGTATCCACAGGCGTGTGACTTTAGTTTCATTCTGATGTAAATTTGTTTCCTAAAAGATATTCATAGTGTGTCGCTCTGACACGAATATGTTCAAACATGGATTACAACACTCGATTAATCTAACATCAGGAATATTCAGCACAATTTAATCCTCCCACAATAACAGGCGGTTTCTGTAATGATCATCACAGATATTTGGCATTTTTAGTGATTTCAGTAAAGTTGGCCCTTTTTAGGGTTATCATTTTATGTAGATAGTACATCATTTTAAACTGCACTCATTCAGAAGTGACATTTGTCTTTGTTCTTCTCATTTACATGAAAATTTGATTGAGATTTTTTGGATTTTGACAACACAGTTTCCCCTTATAAATACCTTTTATTGTATGAGTTGCAGGTTGGCATTTTTTTTCGTCATGACGTAGATTTGTGTCCAGAAATCGGCACAGAGAGTAATTTTTTATATTTTGGAGAGTATTTTTTTAAAAGAAAGTTATAAGGTCGTAGAGGATCAGCTGATAATAAGGAGTTATGTATACAGTGATTAAGTAGCTCTGAGATTGAAGCAGAGAGATAGTGATCAGCGTTACGATTTTACTTTGATAGATGATTTGATTTATAGATATTCTAAAAACATTTAGTGTACTTTCGAGGCTGTAGGACCAAGTAGAAAAATGAGGCCAGCTTATTATAATGGAAGATGTTGACATTGTAATTTTTTTCCCATGTATGGAAGTTAATTGGCTTGTTGACTATAAAATCTAGGTTACTCCAAATGGGGGTGTATTTATTTAGATGTGCAAGAGGAGTGGAAATACGACCCTAATATCACTGTATACGTATAACTCCTTCAGTATTATCAGCTGATCCTCCACCTATAGGAATATGACATCACTGTATACATACAGTATATAACTCCTTCAGTATTATCAGCAGCTGTCGTGTTTCTCAGGAGCGATTATCCTCCTCCATCCCTGACTCCACCTCTCGTCAGTCAGGATTTGGCTTTCTGATTCCCCCTGAATCAGACTAAAATTCTCTAATTATTTTGTTCATTAAATTAATTAATGTTATCTTCAATACATTCATGTTGGTTCTGTTCTGTTCACCCTAAGGAGGGTTATTGATACTCTTATTCATGGATGCGCAGGGAGTTGTCGCCCAGAACAGAACCACATCGCCAATCCAAACTGTACGCTACCTGTCAATCATATTTGACGATAGTGGTCATGACAGAATCGATTTTAAAATATTTTCTCGATATTGAATACAATTTTGATGTGATTTATGCATAGATTTGATTTCTAGTTTACAGTTTTGAGTTACTTTTTCTATTTCTATTCCATTTCTAAAAGAAAAAGCTCACTGAATTAAATGTAATGAAGTTTATTGTTTTTTTTTTCATCCCATTTTACCCAATATAATAAAACAAATGTAATTTAAGCTGACTGCAATCGTTACACACATGACTGACAGCCGTCTGTTATAAAGCAAGGGAGGCCTGAGACAAATGGATAGACTACTTGGATACATAAAGAAAACTCCTTGATACAAAAATTAAAACGTTTGCAAATAAAACTGGTATATACAATGAAAATAAATAAACAATAGGACAAATACAATAGAAAAAAATATATACATAATTAAATAAATGTCAGCCTAGGTTTATTTAACATTTAGTAAGAAGTACTACAGAAATTGAAAAATCAAATAAGACAGTATAATCGTCACAATATGGATTATAAATTGATTGAATTTTCACAGTATGGATTATAAATTGATTGAGTCATCATCACAGTATAGATTATAAATTCTTTATTATTATTAAATTAACGAAATTGCCTGCAACAGTTAATTAATACTGCACACTTCAGAAAATTAATTTCTGAAATTCGTGAATCGATGCGAATCGACAGAAGATAGATTCGCGATTCATATATGAATTGATGTTCCTCCACCCCTGGTATATTTGTGCAGTTGTGATTGTGCACTCAATATTACACAATATTAATGATCAGACTGTACTAATGCTGTTGTATGAAAACTAAACTGAGCTGGACGATGACATCACTGTTTTCTCCAGAGCTGCTGTATAGGTAAATTAACTATATTAATAACTAATGATTTTTACAACGGAAATGAATCAACACTAAACTTACTTAAGCTGGGCTATGAACCTAATTTCTTCTAGATCTGCTGTACAGCCCAAGCAAACTTTGTTGCATTATTTTCCTCTTATGACTGTAAAGCTGCGTTGAAACGATCTGCATTGTAAAAAAGCATTATACAAATAAAGGTGGCTCGACTTTACATATGCGTGTGTGCATAACATGGCAGTGCTGTTGGGAATAAACAAAAGATAGATTGTACACAACAAAACAACAACCCCAATACAGAAACCATTAAATACAGACAAAGTGTATAACAGGTGGAGTCGGAAGGGCACGAGACCCAAGTGCAAAGCAAGAGCACATCTTATACCGTTGGTGTATGAATGTGTGTGTGAATGGGTGAATGTGAGGCAATATGTAAAGTGCTTTGGTGGCCATTAGGTCTATGAAAGCGCTATATAAATGCAGTCCATTTACCATTTTACCATTTTATAGATTTAAGCGAAAGAACGAGCGAGTGAGAGAGAGAAGGGGTGGGTAGTGGTGGTGTAATTATACGTTTATGATCATGGCAGGTTTTGGCACAAGAATGGGAGTGTAGGGCTGGAGGAAATGTCCTTATCATGATATAATTGTCCATCTATGTATAATTTGTCCATTGCAAAGCTTGCTTTTTTCCCCTTCATTTATCAGCTGTTTCCAGATTGGGAAAAGTTGTTGGAGAATGTCCTTTGGGTATAGACTTGTTGAGTCTGTAGTTTGTGCCTTTGAGAGGTCTGGCTTGCCCCTGAACCAGCTCTTTTTCTTTATAGTGTTCAAATGATCAGACTATCAGTCGTGGTCGAGTGCTGTTGTTTTGAGATGTAATTGCTCATTTTATCACAAAGTCCTTGACTGATATTTGGGTCATCTGGAGTTTGTTCCTGTGAAAATGACCATGGAGGGGAGTTCAGTGGTGAGTGTCTGAACCATAGACTGTAAAAAAAGATGGACGACGCCCCTTCGCTCTTTTCCATCAGAGAGAACCGAGGCCGCCATGATGTCAGAGCACCGTTTTTTATCATCACATAACTAACTAAAAACAAACTTATTTTAAAAACGAACACTTGAAATTACATCAACGTGATAGAAACTACAGTAAATGACAGAAACTATCTTTGGAAAAAGGATATGTGAAGTGTAATTTAATTTTTTAGTTGGTCTCGCGTCCCATTGAATAACATGGGGAGGCGGGGGTTATGAGCTATACTAGGACCGGTCACAGGGGGGCGATCGAGCACGCTTGGTCTGAACAGAGTGCTTAAAAAACGATTTACTTTGGTGAGAGTGTCTATCTGTTCTTGGCTGACAGTGACGCAGTTCCTAAGTGCAATCTTGGGATCAAGTCTGGAAAGTTTATTTTCAATGTTCCCTACCTCTGTGCGCAATGGCGGTCTAGGTGATGTGGATTATGTTGGACCTGGGCTGGAGAGTGAATCGGGATGGGGAATCTCAGAGTTTGGAGTTAAATTTTTTGGTTGTCTGTAGGGGTGTCACGATTCTCCAAATCCTCGATTCGATTACATTTTCGATTCTAAGGTCACGGTTCGATTTGATTCTCGTTTTTTTATCAGCCGGCCAATCAGGATGCTCTCTGTCTTACATGCGCTTCATGAGGCACAAATGCAAGGTCTCTCGCTCTCTCCCTCTCTGCCATGCGCGCAATGCCGTTTGGAGCACAGTTTTTTCTGTCTCGGCATGCACGCTCGCTCTTGCTCGCTCTTCCGCGAGGTTTTAACTAATTTTAATAACGCTATCAAACCCGGAACTTCCGCGAGACTTGGGATGTCTGCAAACTGAGCGAACATTGTTAACAAAACTCACTGGAAATCCCAAAAACTTGAACACGCGCGTTTTTTCCGCTGGCAAGCCGAACGGACGTAACATGGGGGCGTGGCAGCATCGACGATTCCATTTTTTACATTCGAGATTCGAGAATGTGAATTAATTTAGATCTATTTCGATTTAGTTGTCTGGTTTATCGCTGTTCATGGTGCAGCAGAATCTGTGCACGTCAATATTTTCCTTATGTTGATTCAGGTTGTATTACGTTAAATTCCAGTTTTAAAAAAGGGGAGTAAACGAGAGAAAGTGCAAAAAGGAGAAAGACGATGCATTTTCCACTCCATTATTGAACGATGGTTGTGGTGGAGCTGGAGCTGGAGCTTTCTGGATCATCAGAGAAATTTCCTGCGACATCGTTGTGAATGTGGTAGTAATACAGGAAGAGGAAAAACCCTGGAAAAAAATCGGTAGAACATATTTCAACTATTTCATAAACATTTCAGATATCATTCAAGTAATTTGTATAATTAAAAAAATGTAACTTAAAAAATTTTTTTTTGCATCACACACAATCATCCATGTGATTGTTTCTCACCCTGAAACGAGTTCAACACGGTGAAGATGTAAAGTGAGGGGATGAGCATCGGTCCATAACTGAAGAACGCCACAGCCCACGTCAGGCCGAAGAGCAGGAACAAACTCAACACCATCATCAGCTGCTTTCTGAACGTCTTTCTCTTGCCGTCAGCCGCTTTTAGGTGTCGGGCTTGGACAATCTTAGTGACGATCATGATGAAGATTCCTGTCGTGAAGATGAAGACTAAAGCGTAGTAGCCAATGTTCACTATGTAGTGAATTAACGGATCTGTAATCCAGCACCTGTAATTAGAAGAGAGGAGACAATGTTGACTTAAAAGCTTCATTAATGTTTTCATTTTCCCAACTAGAACAGGTTTTCCTCATTAAATTATATTATAAATATATAAATTAAGACTCTCTTTGGTCTCGGTCTTGACTCTCTTTGGTCTCGGTCTCGACTCTCTTTGGTCTCGGTCTCGACTCGGACTCGACTCTCTTTGGTCTCGGTCTCGACTTGGTCTCGGTCTCGACTTGGACTCGACTCTCTTTGGTCTCGGTCTCGACTCGGACTCGACTCTCTTTGGTCTCGGACTCGACTCTCTTTGGTTTCGGTCTCGACTCGGACTCGACTGTCTTTGGTCTCGGTCTCGACTTGGACTCGACTCTCTTTGGTCTCGGTCTCGACTCGGACTCGACTGTCTTTGGTCTCGGTCTCGACTTGGACTCGACTCTCTTTGGTCTCGGTCTCGACTCGGACTCGACTCTCTTTGGTCTCGACTTGGACTCGACTCTCTTTGGTCTCGGTCTCGACTTGGACTCGACTCTCTTTGGTCTCGGTCTCGACTCGGACTCGACTCTCTTTGGTCTCGACTCGGACTCGACTCTCTTTGGTCTCGGTCTCGACTCGGACTCGACTGTCTTTGGTCTTGGTCTCGACTTGGACTCGACTCTCTTTGGTCTCGGTCTCGTCTCGGACTCGACTCTCTTTGGTCTCGGTCTCGACTCGGACTCGACTCTCTTTGGTCTCGACTCGGACTCGACTCTCTTTGGTCTCGGTCTCGACTCGGACTCGACTCTCTTTGGTCTCGACTCGGACTCGACTCTCTTTGGTCTCGACTCGGACTCGACTCTCTTTGGTCTCGGTCTCGACTTAGACTCGACTCTCTTTGGTCTCGGTCTCGACTTGGACTCGAGTAAGCTGGTCTCGACTACAACACTGGCTGCCTGTATACACGAAGTCGACTGTCTTTATAAAATATCTTTAAACGGTCTGTACACTTACAAAGTTCTCAATGCTTTGGTTATTAAGTACACATGGCAAGCAAATACTGACACTGATATAGAGAAGAACTCCCTCTAGAGGGACTTTGGACCTTTGAAGAGCTTTTTAATGCTCAAACAGCATCATTACACACTAAAGAAAAAGATGAACATGAAAAAAAGCATAATCAGTACTCTTTAATCATGCAATTATGACATAAGAACAACTTACATTTTTGTGTTTTTTCCAGACGTTGTTGTTATGATAAATGTTTTATATCCTCCCGATGAAACAACAGCTATGACAATAGGAGCTGAAAACACTGAAAACACACAGAGATCAGGGTTATAATAGGTAACTAAATCTAAACTTTAAGTGCTATAATTTTTTAGGTGCCCGCTGCATCTACCAACCCAGAAAACATGAAAAGTGACCACCCAGTGACTTTGTCTTATTAAAATAATAATCTTATTAAAATATTACCAGCCCTTAATGTTTCCACCCACGACGCCAACATTTAGTTTTCGCAAGAGACAACATTGTAACCAGTTCTAATGCAATCGCAAAAGTTTGAGCAAAGCATGCAAACTGTTCTGTCGTTCAGGACAGACGAACACTGAACAATATTGACCAGAAAATGTCACTTCTGTCTTATAAAGACCTCAAGGAACTGTGTACGCTTGGGCAAAAGTTAAACATGACGGTACATGCAAGCTCACACCCAAAAAGGGGCAAATTTGAAAAGCTATAATAAATAATCTCTGGGGGTATTTTAAGCTGACACATTCTTGGGACACCATATATTAATAGTACATCTTGTGAAAAGGGATAATATGTCACCTTTAACTGAACATTTTCATTTAGTTTAACTTGTACTAAAAAAACAAAAACTAAAATTAAAAGATAATAAAAATCTATATAGACGTCTGAGGTTGCAAATGCAACCTAGTTCCCTGAGAAGGGAAATGAGACGCTAAATCTTAGTGTGGATGCTATGGGGAATGCCCTCGGCTTGACCACGGTCTGGCACATGTGTAAATGTGCCAATCTATTGGCATGAAGTAACACGCCAAGCTGACGTGCTGTTATGCCTTGAAGTATGGCAACAAGACGTAGCATCTCCTTTCTCCTTTCAGGTTAATGGGTTGCATTCACAACACAAGGTGTTCCCTTTTGAACTGGAACTTCGACACTTCATCTCGGTGTTGATGCTATGAGGAACACAGTAACACAAACCTACTACGCCATGTTGAGGAATTTCCTGCCCAGTTGGTTGTGAATATGCATGAAGTGAGCATAAGATTTAAGTGACTCTGAGTCCAAAAGCATGGTGCATCCCTACACAGTAAAAAATAAACCGTAAATTTTACGGTAAAAAAACGGCAGCTGTGGTTGCCAGAACTTTACCGTTAAAAGTACGGTAGGAACGTTAATGGTTTTGCACACTTAACTTAAAATTTACAGTAATAAACCATATTTTATTTTCTGATAAAATTTGGATTTACCATCTTATTAATATTGATATCTGTTTTAGACGATTGTAGTACACTGACAACCAACATTCATCACAGCAGTGATGAGAGTTACATGAGCAATCACAGCTCATCACAAGTGAACACTTGTATAAAGCAATACTTAATTCAAGAAGCTGCACAATGTCATTCACACAAACATTAAGCACCATCATGGTAACACACATGAAATTTAAAAAATGCAATAAACATTAATTTAACAACATTAAATGTAACATATAACCCTAATGTACATAAATGTTCTAATAAAACTATGAGGAATTGTGGGAATGTCAATTTACGGTTTTTCACTGTAAATTATACTTATAAAGTATAGATTTGTTCTTTTTCACTTTCAAAAACTGTAAATTTAACGGTATTTTACTGTAAAACTATATCACAGTTATTTACTGTGTATAGTACGGAAACTTTCTGTTTACCAATTAACAGTTTTGCACTGTAGCATTTTTACAGTATTTTACCGTTAAAATCACGGTTATTTTTTACAGTGTATGTGACTTGTGAAGAAAATTGCACAGTGGTTCTGTTTCCTAAAGCAAGTTCCCCAAGCAAAACATATGGCCTGAGAGCACTTGTCCAAAGGGGCATATCACTACTTCAATCCCCAACATTTTTTGGGGAATGAGGTAAATTCGATAGAGGTAAACATTGAGGACTGCCCACATAACCTTTTTTACCTTGCATCAAACCAGGTTCCTGTGTAAATAACTGTTATTTTCTAAAGTGAACACTATAACAGGTGATTTCTCCATGTAACTCACTCCAGCCGAACACGGTGATCTTCCTCATGTAGTTTTTGATGGTGATGTTCTGTCTGATGAGCCATAAGTACATATGAAGAGCTTGAATGAAGAACCAGGTGAATGTAGCCAGCATTGAGTAATGCATGAGCAGCGCTATGAAGACGCACGCAGCCTTGTCTTCTGTGTTGGCCACGCTCTCGTTTGACAAAAAGGATAGATTCAGGAGAAACAAAGCCACAAACATGTTCATCAAGATCTTCGTGGCCTGATTTGATTTGGCTTTCCTGTTCGAATATAAAAACACTGTATTGGTAACATGTATTTATGCTTTTTATCCAAAAGAGGAGCAAAAGTGATTGGTCAAAGAACTTAAAGTAGCTGTATGTTATATTTTAAGATACTGTACCGTAATAGGAAATGCATGAACAGAGCGACGGACAGAAAAAACATGGAGATGCCACAGCCGATAGAAGTGATGAAGCTCAATGCTTCCACAGACTGTGCTGTGCTGTTTTGATTTTCACCTGGAAGAGACTGAGAGATCAGAGAAAACAGATCAGCCGGATGATTTTTACTATCATTTTCACATGTCATCATGTTGCGTTACGCGCCTAAAAAATTCCTGTGGCGCGAATGAGGTGTAGAGCGCAGCGCCTCATTCGGGCGTCTTGAGCGTCTGGCGCATTAAGCGCGAATGATTTAGTTAGTGCTATTTGTGCATTCACGCGTTTCACGCGAATTCGCGCCTGCCGCCCGAATTGAAAAATCTGAACTTCGGCGTCAATTCGCGCCGAACAATAAATTATTTTGCATCAAACACGTGAATGCACAAATAGCACTAAATAAACCATTCTTTAATTTAGATATAGGTAGGTGGTATAATTGGAAGAACGTTATTATTCTAGAAACATTCTTGGACTAAACTTCTTGTTGTCAATATATGAGATTTTCCCCGAAGTTAGAGACTTTAAATTTTAAATGCATATATTTAAGTTTTTTCAAGTGATCTTGTACAAGTTCGCTAGCATATAAACGTGGACTAAAATATATTGATTTCATGGGGTCTTTAAACGAAACTCAGTGAAGCTTCTCACCATCAGCACTGCAAAGAACGTCAGATGTGAACACGAGCACTTTATGGTGTTATTGTCGATTTTTACTGTCTCACAGCCGGACGTCGTCCATGTAAGATTTCCTTAAGAAAAGAGAGCGGCAAATTAAATTGATTATATGAAATAAGTTGATGCACTATAAAAATTGCTACGTTGTTTTAACCCAACTTTGGGTCAAATATGGACAAACCCAGCCAATGGGTTAAACTTTTTTAAACCAACATTTGGGTTTGTCCATATTTGACCCAATATTTGGCATTTTTAGAATGTGGGAACTGATCAATACAGCCATAAGTGAATTTACCTTTGCCATCCCAAGAACTGCATGATGCATTACCGACCTGTAACAACATGTTTGATTTTATTTTGCTTCCACAGTTGTCTGGTCATTATCAAAAAAAAAAAAGTTTCTTTAAAAAAAAAAAAAAAACCTTCATTACCAGATTTTCCCGATTAATGAACATTTCTATTTTGTTGGTAAGGTTGGAGATATTGGCGCCCATCGTTATTCCATAAACCTCATTGTTCAAAACAGTTTCATTCTTAATAAGAAACCAAAAGCAATTACTGTTAATGAAATATAAACATTAAATCAAGAAACATTTTCTGAATGATCTCATTGCACACATTACCTTATTCCCCATATTTCTGAACCTTAAAATTCCAACATATGCACTTCCATTGTTTTCAAGACGTGATTTATCAAAGGCCTCGCTGGGAACATTTACATACCAGGGAAAGCCTGTCGGCTGCTTATTCTCAAGAACCTGTGGATTTTAAAGAATAATTAGCACTGATAAATGATAAAATCCTAGTCAGATGCTTCAATGCTTCTCAGGCCTTACGTTGATCATGTTCTGTTTTGAAGAGTAGCATATTTTAGTATCTTTGCTTTCTGTGTTCTTGGCTTGTATTTGGAGAACACCAATAACATCCTCCATCACAATCCCCGCATTGCTTTTATTGTTTTTTTCCATCTCCTTCACCCAGGAGTTCATTCTCTCCAGAGTCTCTCTGCAAAGTTGATTGAATCACTTGGTTGGCATTCGTACTAGAGTCTATTACACTTTACTAGAGTTTATTGAAACTGCACTCTAAAAATTGCTGGCTTGTTTTAACCCAATTTTGGGTCAAATATGGACAAACCCCAGCCATTGGGTTAAATTTTTAAATTACATTTTTAACCCAACCTTTGGGTTTATCAATTTGACTCAAAATTGGGTTAAAACAACCCAGCATTTTTTAGAGTGTGGTAACGGCACACTTACGATGCTTTTGAGGGTTCAGGATGACTCCAGTCTGTTGTATTATCTGAAGATATATTCAAAACATTCTCGTGTGGTGCAAGAGTGGAAGATTGATTCTGAGTTGTCATGGGTGGTGTGACACTGGTTGCAATGGATGGTGGGACACTGGTTGTTGTGGATGGTGGGACACTGGTTGCAATGGATGGTGGGACACTGGTTGCAATGGATGGTGGGACACTGGTTGTTGTGGATGGTGGGACACTGGTTGTCATGGATGGTGTGACACTGGTTGCAATGGATGGTGGGACACTGGTTGTTGTGGATGGTGGGACACTGGTTGTCGTGGATGGTGTGACACTGGTATCTGGATTGTTAGTGGTGGTGTGTGACTCTGGTGTGACAGTAGTTGAACCTTCATTTCTGCATTTGACACACGTCCAGTCTGTTCCGTTCCATTTCAGAACATATTTGCTTCGTTCTTGTGCTTCGTCACAATGAAATAAATAAGGAATTGGTTTTAATTATACATCTATTGTGCAATAATTGAAAGATTAAAGAAAGTGTTCTAATATGTCATGTATAAACATTGTTATTTCAGCATTATACAGTTGCATGTTCATATACACTCTCAGGTTCTCTAAAGAGCTCTAGGGTTCTTGACTCATAGGTTCTATATAAAGAGAAATGTCTTAAATTTTTGCATAATATTTTCGTGTTTAATTGGTTAAAACAATTGAATTTTTAATAATAATCATACACTGTAAAAAATATTTTCAAGATTTGTTATCACAACATATTTTCTTTTGTCAAATCACCTTTATAATAATTTATTTAGTTGAGATAACTTATTATCTTGAGTTTCTGATGCTTCATTGTATTAACTCACTTTTTCCAGTTCAATCAACTGAAAATTTTAAGGCAACCCACGTTACTTACTTTTTTAAGTTAAACAACAATATTTTTTTACAGTGTAGTAATCACAACATTTTTTTCTTTTGTCAAATCAACTTAAATAATTTATTTAGTTCAGATAACATATAGTTTTGAGTTTCTGATGGTTAAATTAATCTCCTTCATTGTATTAACTCACTTTTTCCAGTTCAATGAACTTAACATTTTAAGGCAACCAGGTTACTTACTTTTTAAGTTAAACCATCAATATTTTTTTACAGTGTAATTGCGCTAAACAATGTCAACTCCTCATGAACGATTTACTCATGCTTGTCAAAGCAAGTAGAGTCTGTGTTTAAAAGGTCAATGAACCCTAATATTACCCTAATCTTATAACTTAATGATTTTAATCTGGAAAAAAGACATGCATGTTCTACTACATGCTGTAGGCCTACTTTATTTATTTTGATGTGATGGGTGTGTGAAATTGTAAGTAGTTTATAGACACAGACTCACCACTGCATGCATCATTGGCATATGTTGCATTTTTACATTTCTCTCCAGGATTAACAGAACGTAATTCCGAACAACCTCGATAAATAATGACATCACATAATTGTGTCAGACACAGTGTTATGATTTGTACATCTTTGTATACTAAGAACAGCATGAAGGTATTAAAAGACAGGAATAAAACACTACAGAATGTCAGTGAATATCAATCACAAATGTGTAAGAAAAATATGCATATTTATATTCATTATATCAAAATGAACAAATCTTTTTCCGAGTCAATTCGTTCGTTTCATTCGTTGAATGAACCAAATGACTCTGAAATAGATTGGTTCGTTTTGATGAACGAGTTCGAACAGGTCACGAACGCGCATCACAGAACAGAGCAAGGCGAACATTTGAGCTTATAAAACGTAAACTTTGTTATTTATTTATTAAATGAGTGATCATGTCGCTTGATAAGACCCTTATTCATCGTCTGGAATCGTTTAAAGGCCTTTGAACAGTTTGCACTGAAACTGTCTTTTGGACCTTGAGCCGTTTGGACCCCATTGAAGTCCATTATATGGAGAAAATCCTTTCATTAAAGTCCTTAATTTCTTTTCGACTGAAGAAAGAAAGACATGGACATCTTGGATGACATGGGGGTGAGTAAATTATCAGCAAAAGTTTTTTTTAAAGTGAACTACTCCTTTAAGTCATGTTTACTAGTCCCTATTTTTCAATGTGATATTATTGTTTAATTGTTTTCTTTTTTTTTGTTTTATTATTTTGTCGCCGTCATTTACATTTTTTCTATAAATGCTTTTCACAAAATTCCTTCAGTTCTCCCTGCAACATAATGTGTTTTCATATAATCCTTATCTTGTTATTTATGCTAATATATCCAAATATATGGTTTCATGTTTATATTAAAAGAAAGGCTGCGAAATACATGGAATTTTGTGGTACTGTTACTAAACTTGATCTAAAATTGGACTTTCCCATTGAAAGGATCATGTAAATGATTGAACCAGTCTAACCAGCCCAATCATATTATGTAGGCCTAGACTTTAGAACGAACGAATGAGGCTTCTACTTTCATTTTTATGCTATTCTATGCTTCTAGATAATGATGATTTTACTGTAGAAGAGGGTCAAATCTTACATATTCTTGTGTTTAATTTGCAGGTGGTGGTCTGGGTTGTCGGTGCGCAGGTTGGCAGGAGGCTTTTGTTCTGACAAGTCACAGTATGATCTGGATCAAGCAGGAGGGAAGAGATGAAATTATTACAACACTTGCTAAATATAATAATCTAAACTAGTGTAAAATAGTCTGTGGTTGTACCATGATCTGCTGTGTCTCATTGCATATTTACTCCATTTAAATATTATGATTTATTTATATAGAATTTCAGTCTTGCGTTTGTTCTATTTTAGCTTTGCATTGATTTCTAGAATGTTCAGAAATATCAAAAATCAAAATATTATCAACAGCGATGACGTCATAATGACTGACAGCAGCGATCCCTGGTGAAAACACAGAAGTGTGCCTGTACTCATGCGGTGTTGTGTGTGTTACACTGCGTCTGACGACACGCACCTGTTATATTCAGGACCGCTGATGGCAGACATTTAGATTCCTTTGGTAAAAACCACATTTGTATGTCTTCAACCGTCTCATTCATTCTGATTTCATAGTTCCCCAAGTTTGTTATTTTAAAAAAGTCTGTTTTGCATTTTCCTGGAAACACAAGAGAACATTTTAACATTTGTGACCCTGTACCACAAAACCAGTCAAAAGGGTCATTTTTATTTTATTTAGATTTATAATTTATATATGGTTTGTTAGAATAGTATTTGGCCGAGATGCAACTGTTAGAAAATCTGGAATCTGAGGGTGCAAAAAAAATGTAAACATCTAACACACACAAGATTGTGCATTTATGTTCGCGATTTTTCTGCATTCACTCACAAAAATAAATTTGTTATATATTTACGGTAGGAAATTTACAAAATATCTTCATGGAACATGATCTTTACTTAATAAAATATTAATAAATAAATATATATATTTAATATAAATATATTAGGGATGTGCAAAAATTAATTGTTATTAATCGCATCCAAAATAAAAGTCTGTGTTTACATAATATATTTGTGTGTGCTGTATATAATTATTTTGTATATATAAATACACACACATGCATGTATATATTTAAGAAAATGTGTTATTCATATATAAAATATTTATATTTATATAATATAGATTATATATTTATATATATACAGAATTTAAGTGCAAATAATTCTTAAGTATATACATGCATGCATAGGTATTTATATATACAAAATAATTATATACAGCACACACAAATATATTATTTAAACACAGACTTTTATTTTGGATGCGATTAATCGCAATTAATTTTTGCAAAGCCCTAATATATATATATATATATATAATTAATTAATAAATATATATAATTAAAAACTTAAAATTTAAAGATTTTGCCATGGCAGCTAACTTACATAAAATAGGCCTAAGTTTAAGTTGAAGTACTAAATATCTAAAATTAAAGTGAAATAAATGTAAAAGAAACCTAAATATGAATTCTTAAAAACAACTAAAACTAATAAAAGTTACAAAATAACAACAAAATTAATAAAACTTTAACTAAAATTTAAATGCAAACTGAAAATATAAAAACAAAAGCTAATTCTAAATATTAATAAAAATGATAACAGTATATAATACAAAAATACCACTGTTACCCAGGGAGGTTGTTTCCGGTTGAACGGTCATTATGCAAAAATCCCCTATCAGTGTTTCACAAGCGGATGGACATGTCAGCTTTATAGCTGGAATAAAAAGGCATTATCTCTATGAATATGTCAGTCATCACAACATTTTAGAAGATAAAAATGCAGTTTATTTCACATCTACCTGCGCAAGTTGATCTATTTGGGTATTGGGCATCTGACAAATTATCACCAATGAGCATTATCTTCAAACAGCCTGCACAAACAAACACATCATAATGAGGCTCTGCGCATCTAAAAACATGTTCATTGAGACTTTCTTTAAAGTTTAAAGCAACATACTTATCTGGCTTGAAGCACAGCAGACGATCATCAGCCACAGCAGATTCAGCTTTTCCCCAGACATAATTCCCCAAAACAGCCTGAGAGAGACACACGAGTTGAGTTTCTTTCTACAGATATTAGTCATAAATCTTAAAGCATTTGATATTTACATTCTTGAGATGTAAAGTCCACAGTCCAAGAGGAGAGAGATATTCATCCGCTCACATATGAAGCCATACGATTTTGATCCGCAGCTCAGAGCCGCTGGAACAATGACATACGGTTTATTTGCATCCATGCAAAACATGTTATTGTGGGCTTTCACTGTAAATTTCAATATACTTTTACATTTATGTCCAGTTTATAATGTCACATTTGTTCAGAGAACTACATACATATATAAAATATACTATATATACAAATATATACACTAATATACAAATAATCATATATTGAGTAATAATAGAAATCATGATATCATGAATCATGATAAGATTCAAATGAATTCTTTGAAAGAACGAAACAATGTGTTCTTTCTAAAGTGCGTTTTTCACTATAAATGACACTTGTTTTGGTATTTTGGTCACGCAATGAATGACATTATCAGTGTGATGATTTTTGAGAGCCACTGAAAGTTCATCATGATGAATAATCTTTCTAGATCTATTTACTTTTTGGAGCTTACAAAAGTCTATCACTGAATAAGAGACAAACATTTCCGATTGTCTTTGAGGTTTATTTTCTTGCAAGAAAAGGCCAGCAGTCGTACAGTCTCTTTCTAGGCCAATGATGGTCATACGTGGAACAATCTTAGACTTGTTCATCATATTGTATCCTTTAGTGACACGCTTTACTATTCCAGTACAAATCCATTGTAAAATAAGGTTTGTGAGAGCTCTTTTACTGTCATATGATGGTCACACATCTTAAAGATAATTACAGCATAATTTAATTCCATTTGCATCATTGTTATCACTGTAAAGCTGCTTTAAAACCAAAGACATTATATGCAGAATAAAGGTACTGTTTGTTTGTGTCCTAATAAAGCGCTATACTGAAGATCAGAGGTTTTAGATATAAAACCGAGGTATAAGCCAGGCTTTTTGTGTATTTTATTCAACCAAATATGTATCTTTATCTCTTTGAATGATTTACCTTGAAATGATAAATCTAATAAGCATGCAAATATATGATGCTTGGCCTTTAGTTTCATACTGAAGATGCAAATTTGTTCTCTAAAAGATGTTCAGTATAGTTTGTCTCTGATATGCTCATGTTCAAACATACAAGACAGCAGGATGATTATAACATTAATAAATCTAACATTCAGCACAATTCAATCCTGCCACAATAACAGTATTTTATTAACAATCACCAGAAATGTGTTGACTGTTTCCACTTAACTGGAATTTGTAGTTTTATAGAAACATCGCAAAACAATGTCAACAAAACTGGCATTTATCTTGTTGTTTTTGGGCCTGATTTGGTGAGAATATTACAAAACTGCACTGGATAATGATTGCTAATATCTCAAAAATGTTTGAGCCAAAAATCTTAATTTTCAACATTTTCAGATGGATCAATGTATTTCATTAGTAGCCTAATAATTGTGAGAATAAATATTATTATACCACAGGGCTGTTGAATGCTTGAATCTGATTGGTTGATAAACATTCTAAGGTGTGCAGTTATTTTTAATGAAACTCGCGGCTAAAGTAGTTCCGGCAGGTCTCGACCGAATTACAGCTCTATATCCCTTCACCACATGATTTCAAAGGTCTTTACAGCCGACAACAGCAAAACAACCAAAACACACAACATGGTGTTTACTGCTATGAGAAGTGCCGAGAACAACACCTTGATCTTTGTATGATCTTAATTGACCTCACGAAAGCCTTCGACTCAGTTCCCCGCACCGGGCTCTGGCTCATTCTGCGTAAGATTGGATGCTCAGAGAAATTCATTATAGGAGTAGTTCACTTTAAAAAAAACTTTTGCTGATAATTTACTCACCCCCATGTCATCCAAGATGTCCATGTCTTTCTTTCTTCAGTCGAAAAGAAATTAAGGTTTTTAATGAAAACATTCCAGGATTTTCTCCATATAATGGACTTCAATGGGGACCAAACGCTTCAAGGTCCAAATGAGAGTTTCAGTGCAGCTTCAAAGGGTTTAAACGATTCCAGACGATGAATAAGGGTCTTATCAAGCGAAACGATCGCTCATTTAAAGGAGCAATGTGTGACTTTTAGCGACATCTAGTGGTTCGGTTGCGAGTTTGCACCAGGTTTGCACTAAGGGCTCCGCCCACTGCTCACCCCTCCCTTTCGAAGAAGCTACGGTTGCTAAAACGGGACAAACATCTCGTCGGCTGAGACAGCAGAGAATAGCCAGAGTAAGCCAAGAGTGTGTAACATTGTCACTGTTTCTGTACCACAGTCCATTATAAACCACATCATGAATACTGTCTGTTTACAAAGCCATAGTCAGGTGAGGATCAAGGGTTTTAATATATAATTTAATAAAATAATAATCAGCTGATTGTCTCACAAACGTAACCAGCAGCACATTTCTCCCCACATACTGTAGCAAACCCATAATACAGCGAGGGAGCAGCTGTATATTTTTTCTAACAGGGTAGTAATAGTTTAGCTGGCTAATATGAGCTGTTACTGTGGCTGAGCTGGGACGCGTCCGCATGAGTCCAAAGGTCGGAAGTGCGCGCGCTGTTACAATCATGTCATCTCCGCATCCCATAGATACTATTTACTACACACAATAGGCTTTTTTTCTCTGATTTTTAAAATTCTTCGCGATCGACTTTAGTGATAAAAGACTTTAGTAAAAGTCTCTATCGACGGGTTAGTGATTCCTGTAACGTACTGTTTTACGGTCAATGACATGAATACTAATCATCAGCTGTCTCACGAACGTAACAGCACATCTATCCCCAACATAACAAACCCACAACACAGCGAGGGAGAACTAAGTTACATGAAACAATCCCAACTACATATTTTACACCACTCACAAGGGAAAAGTCACTACTCACGGAGTGTAAGGCTAGCTTCCAACTTTCCGCTACTTCTCTTTCAAGGTAGTGATGAAACGCGTTCTGTAGCGCTGTTTGTTCGCGTTCGGCTACGGTAGGAATATGACGTCACAACATGGCGACCTTCATAGAAGGGGATTCCCGCGGTTATGGAGCTATTAATGTCTCATTCTAAGGTAATAAAAACATTACGGCTAATTAAGTAAGTTCTTTATACACCACTGAAAACATAGTTATGGATGTCATATTGCATTTCTGTTAATAGATACTCAACTTTGTTACACATTGCACCTTTAATAAATAAGTAAAAAAGTTTAAGTTTTATAAGCTCAAATGCTCGCCTTGCTCTGTTCTGTGATGCGCGTTCGTGACTCTCCTGTTCGAACTCGTTCATCAAAATGAACAAATCTTTTTTTGAGTCATGACTCAAAGGGTCCTTGATAAGACCCTTATTCATCGTCTGGAATCGTTTAAAGCCCTTTGAAGCTGCACTGAAACTCTCATTTGGACCTTGAACCGTTTGGTCCCCATTGAAGTCCATTATATGGAGAAAATCCTGGAATGTTTTCCATCAAAAACCTTAATTTCTTTTCGACTGAAGAAAGAAAGACATGGACATCTTGGATGACATGGGGGCGAGTAAATTATCAGCAAAAGTTTTATTAAAGTGAACTACTCCTTTAAGCATCTCTTCTTGACAGACACAGATCTAGCTATAATGGCAGGAGAGATCAATATATCAAAGAAAATACAGAAATTATCAGACATCCTTAATAATATTCGATGAGATGTTTAGACCCTTAGTGATTAGTAAATCTAGAGTGTGTCCACGATGTACATGCTGAATCCGATCAAACGTTTTTAAAACAGTTTTGATTTCTTTTGCCATATTGTTTTCTGCATTATCTATGTGAATGTTAAAATCTCAGAGGAAATGGTTGATAGCAGTTTTGGAAAGCAGTAGAGTATTTCGGAGGCCTGTAAATAACGATAAGTAAAATATGTGGAGCACCTTTTAACACAATACCCAGATAACCGAAAGATGGGTAATTCCCAAATGATATTTGCTTATTCAAATGGCTCTTTTCCACTACCCAGTACCAGCTCCACTCGGCTCGCCTTTGTTTGGTTTTCCACTGTGTAGATGTTGTAACTGTACCTGCTTTCGGGTAGTTTTTTTACCACCTCCGGCGAGGTACTGAGGGAACTAATGCGAGCTGAGCCGATACTAAAATGTGACGTGAAAACAATGCCGACTGCTGATTAGACAGAGAGAATCGTCATCGTTACACGCGCCAGATGGACTATCCAGAATAAGTCCAGGTTGTATGTGGTTTTTAAATCATTGACTAGAAGTGATTTATTTTTAAGTGAGCGGATGTTTAAAAGTGCTAACTTAACAGTCTCACTTTTTAGTTTGGTGAGTAATAGGCACCAGATTAGATGGGTTTGCTGTATGACTGTTGAAGGGCTTAGACTTTCTCTCATGTAATTTAACTGTAGCGTGACAGCGCCCTCTAGTGTTACTGTACAGTCATTTCACATTAATGGATTCTAGTGTTGGACTTGCAAATCCAGATGACTAAAATCCTCCAGGAAGTGACATCATTATGGAGGGAAAACAGCAGGACAAGTTTTTTTATTATTATTATGGAAGAACTAATACATTTTGTGGTTGTTGCTCTTTCATTGAACAATATATGAAGAGTTCAGATGCAAAAGCCTCTAAATGCCATTTGAAATTTTCTTCTAAAATGACCATTTTTATCAAACTTGTATATTTAAGTTCAGTAATTTCACTTAAATGACTATTAATAGGTAATCTTCATTGCCATTTAAGTGAAATTACTGAACTTAAATATACAAGCTTGATAAAATCATCATTTTAGAAGAAAATTTCAAATGGCACTTAGAGGCTTTTGCATCTGAACTCTTCATATATAAACAACAGAAGGAAACCCCCCCCAAAAAATCCTGGATTTGTGCACATCAAAATATATAATAACTCTGAAAAGAAAAAGAAAGAAAAGCACAGTGAGGTTACATCATATCTTTGAATAAGTCAAAATGTTGCACTTTTTTAACCGTATTTATAAGTCTAAGGGATTAAATAAAAGAATTAAATTAATCAAAAAAAAAGAGGAAAGCGTAAAGGAAACGTAAGCCATTTTTGCTTCTGA